GAAACTGAGTCTCAGTCTTGAAGAGCAGTGCTGGAGATTCAGGGATCATCCAGTCTTGCTCCCCAAACAGCATAAAGACATCACATCTGGTGTGCACAAAAATCTGATTTGGCTGGGACAATTGGATTACATCCATGTTTCCATGGGACATGGAGAGTTTGCTGGAACAGTTTAATGATCATTTGCAGTGCTATTCAGAAAAGGGAAACTTAGTTGTACAGCAGTAAAATAAACTTTAGGATCTCGTAATAAATTTTTAAATAAAACAAGCTTCACTTTGTTATATTTCTTTCTTAAAATGCATGGATGTTAATGTAGTGGGGGAAAGTTGAACTCTGTTCTCAAAGATCAATGCTGCTAAGATGTTAACTCCTTGGCAGCAGAATCCGAACTTTGTTGCTGTGAACATCCACTTTGCCGCAGTGGATGAGCAGAAACCCGCAGGCAGGCACAAAAGGATTAATGCTGTAAAGAGAATTGCAGCTCTGCTTGTGTTCTACCTGACAGATCACAAATGCTTGTGGATTTGACAGTAGTTCTTCTATAAAATAATTGCACTGTATTTAGTTATTTATGGGTAATGCTAACATAAATTTACAAACACTCCAGTAAATTCGTGATGTTGTCTCCCAAATTTTATACCTACTCAGGTGAACAAATGTATTTATAGCATTGCAAGATATCTTCAGAAATTGCAACTGGTGTGGAATTCAGTTTAGCATTATAATTACTTGTATTGATTTATCAGAGGCACCTATCTAGCATTAGTCATTTTATAAGATTTTTCAAATAAAAACTGAAGTATATTTGCTGGTATGACTAAGTTATTTGATTCATGTACAGTGATTATGCTATTTAATGTGAACATGTAGGATCTTATTTTCAACAGATTGTACGCATATAAATTCACTTGCACTTCTGTGCCTAATTTGCATGCACAATTACCACAGGTGCATGTAGAAATCCCATTTTTACATGGACAAATGGCCAGTTACATCCTTATTCGATATTCGTGTGTGCAAATACCTAATGGGAGCGTACACATTGTATGTGCATTTTTGTGTGTGCAGTTGTGGTTTTTCTATTTTCCATTCTTTTTATAGGCTATGTATTGGCAAATCAATAAAAATGTAATTTGAAAAATAAAACAAGCTTAAACAACCAAATTTAATTTCTAGATACTTGCAAAGGGAAGAATGCAGCCATTCTGTTTAGACAATTGAGTATGACAATGGACGTGATATTTGCTTTTTCATATGTAAAGGGAGGTATATATTTTTCCTTTTATTTCCAGCAGTCCTTAAGATATTTTCAGCTGATGCCAAGTAATATTTCTGGTAATTCTCAAAGTACCTGCTGAAAATGTGGAAGGTTATTTATAGCCATGTTTTGTTTGTAGGTATTCAAAGATATGGAAGGAATTGCCAGATATAACTGTCAGTACTGATCACAAGAAAGTCAGCCATTCTCTTATGCTTTAAGTAAAACATTAAAATTACCCTGGTAACCTTTCCTCCCTTCCCCCAAACACACATACGTTTTAAAAATGGAGGGATAAATTATTATATATTAATATAGTGCTCCTTATTTCTGACATTTCACATAAGTTACAAGTTCCATTGTGAATGTATTGCTTTGCTCTTGGGAATTAATTGATTGGGAACATTTTTGATGGAACCATTCAACCTTTTTCTTGGTTGAAAATTACATGTAATGAGAACTACATTAAAAAAAAACTGAAGCTGCTCACATATGTGATTCTTTCGATGACTCTAAAATACTGATCATCTTAAATGGTCAATATGTGTGTCTGTAAATTAAGCTGAGTGTCTTTCTTTCCAGAAGATTAATTTTAATTATCTATAAATGGGATATATCACCCTCAACTATTACATCCTTAGGTATAATGCTTAAGGTATCATTTTCTAGAAGGCAGTCAGTCTTGACGAAACTAATAGCTGAAGTGGTAGTCTGAGCAGTCCATGCTGAATATTTAAGAAGGAAAAGGTTTTACCAACAGTTTTAATTCACAGGGAGTCTGTCATGGTAGAGGTTCTTGGTTGGTTACATAACAGCACCTTGTCATCAGAATCTCAAGAGGGTAGTGGTAAAATTTAGAATATAATTCAAACTTCTTTTGTTTGGCAGGACAAGGTAGATTAAATTAAAACATTTGCAGTAAAAGGGTTACAGGATGTTACACTGGTCCGCAACCAAATTGCATAAAATAATTAATATGGTTTAACTAAATAAGAAAAGTAACAGAACCTTTCAAAAATGACTTATTACAAGTAAAACTGTTGCCAGAAAACTGAAATACAAAATCAGAAGAATAATAAAAGGTGACCGGACAAAGATTTATTTTAAAAATTGAACTTGTGCCCTCTTTTTACTTACTGATGTTTATAAGTTTTTTCTTTTACTGCTTTTTATTAGCTTTAAAAAATTGGAATGTCAACTTTGGTGTTTCTTGAGCTGTTGGAGGACCCCTGAGAGATCTCAAGGCATGTTTATCATGAGTCTGACAACTTACTTGAAGGGGGTGGGGGTGGGGTATTGAATCTTTAAGAGAGGCTTCCTTTATTCAAAGTGTTGTTTAGTCATTGATGTTAAATAGGTTTCTGACAAAAACAAAAAAGTTTAAAACATTCTGACTAAAACTCTCTTCCATTTCTTTGAGCTCTTGTAATATCACCATTGCACTGGTTTTCCAGGCATCACAGTCTTCTAAGCTAGACAGAACCTAAATGGCCACTGTAAAAAAAACAAGCAAGGAAAAAACTGGGGTGGATGGAAAAGAATCTTTTCTAGCCACTTTTATACATGATAAAGAAGCAAAAGGAGTATAACTCTAGAGAAGCAAAATGGAGTAAACCTCTACTTTTGTCCCCCTTTGCCCACCACCTTTAAGTATTCAGCATATAGTTCCCAAGCACTGCATAGATGTCTGTCTGCCATAGATATTATTTTATTCTTTGCTTCTTCAGTAGAGGGAAGTGCCATTGGTTATTGGAAATTAGCAGTACTGGCAACATTTAGGAATTTGTCTTGCTTCCAACTAAAATCAGTGGTAAAATTCCCATGACTTCAGTGAGAGCAGGATTGGACCCTTACAGGCAGAGTGAGTGTGGGAAAGGATGTGGAAACAACTTGTTTGACATTCCTTTTACAATCTAAGTAATAGATGAATCTTCCTGACAATGGTGGATTTGTACTTGGGCATATGCCAGCCAAAGTATTTTCATGTTTTGACCCTATCCTAGAAAGCTATGCTTAAAGATCGTTGAAATACCAAAAACAGAAAGTGTAACTCTTCATATGCACAAGTAGCCATTCAAATGCAAATCGTTTAGTTTGAGCAGCATGATGCTATCCGCTCTTGTTAATATTCTTTTGGTTAATGGAATGGCCTTGCATAGTAGTGCAATAGGTAGCATTCTGTTGGATTGTTCATTTTAGGCTTCTTATTTGAGGGGTTTAGACAAGAACTATTTCCCTGTATTCTGGGCCAAAACTTAACTTACAGGTTCTCAGCACAGAAGCAAATTATTTTAGTTACACAGTCAATTAAAGTAATTTAGTGTCTCTTTGTGAACATTGGGGTGAGGGAATTCTTTGTACCACATGGAATGTAAAACAAACATCTTTATATTTTTTTTAATAATAATGGTGCTAAAGGAGAGGAATTGTTGATGAGTAGCTAGAGTTCCAAAATAGCACCTCTTCTCATGGGCTACGGGCCAACATGTGCTACATCTTCTAGAAACTACATTTAAGTTGGTAATGTCAAGGTTACAGAGCTAGCTTCACCTCTGTCCTCTGAATGCATCCATACAGGTCTCAGGCCTTCTGCGTTTGCCTCTCCTGGGATATGGAATTCTGCAGTTCTCCCACTATTAAAGTGGACCCTGGGCTACAGTATCTTGTGTCTCATCTGTTGAATAGCTGACCCTACAGGTCCGACTGGGTTCAATACCTGCAGTTCTTCCCTTCAGGAGTCTGTGACCAGTGGTCAGACAGACTTCTTAAGCCAAAGTATTGTTTAATCTGAACAGTAAGAATTAAGCATTTAGAGAAAAAAGATTTGTAAACAGTCCTTCATGCTTATCTAACTTAACTAAAGCCTGTAATGAGAGCTAGGCAGACCTAGCTTCTTCAGCCACCCCAGTGTGAGTCCTGAATGTCAGGCTGAACAGCTCACCAACTACCTGACTTCTGCACAGTGTCTTTGTAACTGTTTATAGACCTTTTGCTCATCTGGCTCCCAGCATTGCCCCGCACCCCCCCATGGCAAACAAATTTTTGTAACTTGGTTGGAGCCTGAAGGTAGAATCTTCACTGCCAATAGTTTGGGCATTGTCTCTTAATAACCCTGAAGTGTTTTCTGGAGAGGTGGCTTATCTTGAGCTATTCTTTGTTCTTTCTATTTGTTTTCCTTGCAGTCCATAATTAAACTAAACCAACATATTCATACTGTAAACATCCCAGTAACTAGGTCATATACAGTATTCGTAAATTATTACAAAGCAGCCTCACGTCCATCACAAGGAGCTCCCTAGAAAATTAGTAGATCCTTAGGTGAGTAATCTGAGAACCGAACAGTTTATTAAGGATTAACATTTCAGTGCCTCCATTTCCCCTTTGGTACTAAAAATTAGGTACAGTAATATTTGCTTGCTGTACTTTACAAAGGTATTGACAGTTTGTAAAATGTTTGTAAAATGCTTTGAAATCTCCTGATAAAATGTTAGGTAAGTGCTAAGTATTGCTATTAGCACTTACATAGTGTTTAACAATCTTCAGAGCACTTTTTGTTTTTGTGTTTCATATTTACACATTTGCATTATGACTGATTTCAACAATAATTAACCAGTGTAATGTTGTGTGCTGAAAGCCTCATGATTGCAACACTGAATGGTATAACTTCATCTTTTCTAACTGCTTTTATTTAATTTTTTTGCCTGTGAAATGTTTTAAAATGTATTCTTTGTCCATTACAGAACGAAGACACAATTCAATATGTAAACCTTCCCCATCTCCAGCTTCTCCACCCTCCAATTCCAGGACATCAGTAGTACAAATTAAACAGAAATCCTGTATCAGCGGCCATAACCCTGTCAGCAGCAACTCAAAGCCATTCAAAACTCCCAAAGACAATCTACTTACCTCCACTAGCAAACAGCACACAGTCTTTCCTTCAAAAGTGTCAAGGGATAAACCATGGTAAGTACCATTACAGTGGATAGCTGATTTGTCTGTGCTTGTTCATTTGTATTTTTTTTTAAATCTGTTTGTGTATCTCATGGTCCTCTAAAGAATATACATTTTCTTCTCTTCTGAATATATAAGATAAGTCCAGGGATTTCCTCTGGGGGGAAATGGGGAATGAGTGTTGTTGTTTATATACATATTTATATAAAACCTGACCCCCCAGGTGTGTGGTGATAGATAAAAACTGTATGAGGAAAGAGGAAGATTGACGGTTCACCTTCCTACTGTACCATAAAATGTTTACTTCTCTGAGATATAGAGCAAGGGAGATGTCTTTTGAGTTTGGTAACTTAGATCCATAGAGCCTGTGGACCATCTGACGTCATTTAGGCAAACCTTAAAATGAATATGCTTAAATAGTAAGGACAGGATTTTCAGTAGTGGCTTTGCTAAAGTCAATGAGGGCTTGTCTTCTGCAGCCCTACCACTTGTTTTGGGCACCAGTTGTCACTGAACCTCATTATTTAAGTGCTGTTAGTATGCTTCATGCTATGTGAGACTGCATAGAGCAAAGTACAGTCTGTAAAAATCTCTGTCCTCTAGGTCTTTCAGCATAGATGGTATTGTATACGTCTCTAGGCTGTGAGATCCTTGAGACAGTCCTCTTACGTCTTAATGTTACACTGTGAGTGTTTAACAAACTAATTGAGCACAGTGGAGTTGTAAGAATGTAAATGAAGGCTGAATTTGTATTTTAAATCTTAAGAAGCTAACTTGTCTTCAGTTATATGGAAGAAAGATGCTTTTGTGATTAAGGCCTCAGACCAAAGACATCTGAGTTTAGTTTCTGGCTCTTAGGATATGTCTACGCAGCAGCTGGGATGGTGCTTTCCAGCATGCTTACAAATGGCTGCAGCAGCTAGTGTTAGCCTCCTGAGTTCATACCTGGGGGTTAGGCAGGACTGTACTCGGACAGCTAGCCCGTGCCACCCAGACATGCTATTTTTAGCATGTTTGCTCAAGCAGAGCTAGTGTGTCTGTCTTCACACAGGAAGCACCCTACTAGCTGCTGTGTAGACATTGCCTTACACAGGTTGGGGTTTTTTTTGTGACCCTGAGTAAGTCACTTAATCTGTCTGTGCCTCAGTTCTCCATCTGTAAAACTGACAGAGTAGTACTTTCTTTCTCTTTGTCCCGCCTACTTCTGTTTTAAGTTCTTTGGGACAGGAGCCTTTATATTATTTTCAGATATACTACCTAGCATAATAGTGTCCTGATCTAGGTTGGGGTCTCTGGGTGCTGTTGTTACACAAATAATAATTAATAATCAAATGGAGTTTTTCTTTCTCTGTTCTACAAACCATTTGTGAGACAGAAAATATCAACCCATGCAAATCACTTCAAAAAATACTAGCTCATATTTTTCTCTCTGATATATTGTGAGCAATTCACATTGAATTCAAAGGGAGCTGCTTCCATATATCTTCAGAGTTTAGCGTATTGCAATTATTTTTAGCAAAACTGGTTCAGTTTTGACTTTTTTAAACGGTTAAATCCTTCAACTCTAAGAGTGGTGAGTGTCCCAAGAAATTATGGTGCTAACATTGACTGAAATAGTAAACTTAACCTTTTAGACCACGTGTAAAAGAGATGAGGTACAGGTTATCCTAGATCAAATGTAACTGCTTTCACATACTGTGACAAAATAATACTACTGATCTCATGCTGACTTTTTAGTATACTTAAACAAGAATAAGACTTTTTCAATATTGTTTATGGAGTTAAAAAAAATTAAAACTTGTAAGCAAAAAAATACAAATAGCTTCAAAGTGTTCACATTACAGACCACTGAAATGTTCCTAGTTCTGGTGTTACAAAATAGTAACCTACTCGGAAGCATTTCATCACATTGGCTCATGTTGTGCGAGCATGTAATATTGGGGCCTTTGTTAGCACACACACACACACACACACAGCCCTCCCCATGGTGAGAAGTGGAGTTACTTTAATGGCTGGCTCCATCCATTTTATGTCATCATGCCCAAGTCTGTGTTTGTTATGACCCAAGACCTCCTCAGTAGTCTTTGCCCCTTTCCGGGTTATGGGGAGTCAGAGATTTAGTGGGGACTGATCAGCCCTAGGTTTCCTGGATTTAAGACTTTTTTTCTCCAAAAGCCCCTGGCTGGAGTTAGTAGTGGAATCCAGGTCCTCCTGCTCCACTGGGTTTCAGCTCAGGGACCTTGTTTGGAACAGCCCAAACCAGTCCTCCTCAGTCCCTTGCTGCTCCCTGAGCTTCTTCCTACCTCTCCTCGGCTCTTGGCTTCCCCAGCCTTGTCTTGCTTCCCCCTCTTTGGAGTGTTGGTTTGTCTGACAGCTTCTCACCAGTCTGCGGGAGGGAGCCACTCTCTGCAATGCTTCTGCCTCTCTGGCAGCTGACCTGCTCTCCTCCCTTGCAGCCTTCTTATCTTCAGAGCTGCTGTGGGGCTGCCAGTCAGTTCTGGCTGAGCAGACAGGCAGTTACTTTGTTAACTCTTTGGGTGCCAAACCAGCAGAGGTGTATAGACCTTATGTTCTTATGACCCTATGACAGACCATTTGTTAGCCATAATTCATGTCCTTCACAGTGCCAGCAGACGGCCTTCCATAAATTAACCAAAGTCTAGTGCAGAACAGCATGCCCAGTGCATGTTCATCTGGCTGGCTTTATTCAAAAAGTTCTAAAGCAAAATAAACATTTCCACCAAAGCAGAATAGGAAACATTTATTGAAGATAGAGAAGATAAATCAGTTCATTTAATGAACTAGTGTAGTAGCATTTGATAACACTTAGTGCTTCTGTCTAAAAAGCCGCCGACATGTTCATTAACTAGTCCTTACAACATTCCTGTGTGGTGGTAAGGAAGTCTTGTGTAATCTCATTTTACAGATGGAAAAACTGAGAAATATTGAGGTTAAAGGATTTGCCCAGTATCACATAGCAAGTCAGTAACAGAGTCAGGATTAGAACTGGGATCTTTTCTCCCAGTCTTGTGTTTAGCATGCAAGATCACACTGCTTCTCCAAAAAAAACAACCCCCAACCCCCACCCCCGACACACACACGTTTTAATACTGGTCTTCCTGTGCAGGTTCCAGCATCTTCCAGGGCAAAGGTGCAAGCTTCAGGAAAGTGAGGACTGATTTTTCTTTTTACTTGGAACGCAGGAAAAGAAGGTCTGATTATGAAGTATTAGAAGATACTGAATATTCAGTAGATGGTTTCGATTTTCTTAAGGAGAAATTATTCATACAGATTTTAAGGTTAGACAGAACCATTTACAGTATTTTAATCTCACCTCCTGCATAACACAGGCCATAGGATTTCAACCAATCCTGGATCAGGCCGATAACTTGTGATTGAACAAAAGATACCTTGTAGAAATAAATATCCAATCAAGAAAAAATAGTATAAATAGGTTTAAATAATAACTTTTAATAATTGTAAAGACAGTCACTAATCTCTTCTCAGTCAACCCAATTGCTTGGTCCCATAAGCTTTCTGATCACCTGGGTCTGGGCTGAATCTATTCACTGTTGCTAGCTCTGGATCTATAATACATGCTCTTAGGCTCTGACCTCTTATCTGACCCTTTCTTGGGATATGGGACACCATTGCACAGCTGCAGTAGATGTCTGGATGTCTGAGACCTCCTGAGTCCCCCAGTCACTTACACATATTCCCTCAGAGCTCCACCTACAATATGGACATTCTGAGCATCTAGTTAAACCCCTTCTGTGACAATGTGGCAGGAAAGCAAGGAACACAAGCTTAGCAGAAGAAACTCTTAAGCGGAGACTTAAGTTTTTGAGTGCCCGAGAGTTACAGATCTTCATAGATACTAGATACTAAGGTCAGAAGGGACCATTATGATCATCTAGTCTGACCTCCTGCACAACGCAGGCCACAGAATTTCACCCACCCACTCCTGCGAAAAACCTCTCACCTATATCTGAGCTATTGAAGTCCTCAAATCATAATTTAAAGACTTCAAGGAGCAGAGAATCCTCCAGCAAGTGACCCATGCCCCATGCTACAGAGGAAGGCGAAAAACCTCCAGGGCCTCTTCCAATCTGCCCTGGAGGAAAATTCCTTCCCGACCCCAAATATGGCGATCAGCTAAACCCTGAGCATATGGGCAAGATTCACCAGCCAGATACTACAGAAAATTCTTTCCTGGGAAACTCAGATCCCACCCCATCTAATATCCCATCACAGGCCATTGGGCCTATTTACCATGAATATTTAATTACCAAAACCATGTTAACCCATCATACCATCTCCTCCATAAACTTATTGAGTTTAATCTTAAAGCCAGATAGATCTTTTGCCCCCACTGCTTCCCTTGGAAGGCTATTCCAAAACTTCACTCCTCTGATGGTTAGAAACCTTAATCTAATTTCAAGTCTAAACTTCCTGGTGGCCAGTTTATATCCATTTGTTCTTGTGTCCACATTGGTACTGAGCTTAAATAATTCCTCTCCCTCTCCGGTATTTATCCCTCTGATATATTTATAGAGAGCAATCATATCTCCCCTCAGCCTTCTTTTGGTTAAGCTAAACAAGCCAAACTCTTTGAGTCTCCTTTCATAAGACAGGTTTTCCATTCCTCGGATCATCCTAGTAGCCCTTCTCTGTACCTGTTCCAGTTCGAATTCATCCTTCTTAAACAGCGGAAGTTCTGGGACACATCCACCCCTATTCTGATCTCATTCTTCTTGTGAGTCTGAGGTTTGTTAGGCTGGGATGAGTCCATCCTGGTCACTTTCCTGCAAGTTCTCCTTATGTGTGGCAGTGGTCGACTGTCTTGCACAGAGCAGAATTTATTCTTAAGTAGGATGATCTCTCCTCTGTGCCATGTGTCCAACTGAGAAGTCCAGCCCCACGTCCACCTTGTCATGCTTGCCCCATCTACAGATCCCCTGTATAGGAAAATCATTGTTCCAGAGGGGCGGGTCAGCAGCTGAGAGACAATC